GTGTTAATCCCATGGTGGAATTGCCGCATGTCCTGAGATTCAACTTGATTCTCTCCGGGAATTGTGGTGAGGTTTTTGTTCTTTCCGTGCATGCGTGGGTTTTCTCCGGGTACTTCGGTTTCCTCCCAAAGACCAAAAACATGTTGGGCAGATTTGTAACTCTAAATTGTCCCTAGATGTGAGTGAGAGAGTGAATGATTTTTGTCTCGTTTGTCTCCATGTGTCCCTATGATGGCCTGGAGACCTGTCCAGGGTGTCCCCCGACTTTCACACAGTGACTGGTGGATATGGGCACCAGTGACCCCTGCTACTCAAAAAGGAAGAAGCGGGTAAAGATAATGGATGGATTTCTGTTAGTTTGCTTCAGCCCAATACAAGGAGGATACACAAACTTCAGAGTAAACTCACAGGAGCTCACATATTAAAAAAAACTCTGCCAAAACACACATCAATTGTATTATTCATAGCACTGAGGAGAGCTCTTACACAGAGCTGACAAACACAGAACAGTCACTGTAAACACTGAGTGACAACAGCATCAGCTAGATTGTCTTACATCGAGAGAGATGGAGAGATTGGGAGGGAGATGGAGAACACACGATGATTAAATGTGTGAAATGTTCATGTGAGTCTGTTAAAAAGCAATTTATAAATCGTGCAGGTATAGTTTGCATTTGCACAATTGAATGCAGTTAAAGTTTCAAGGCAAAGTTTTTAATCCTGAAAAAAAGCTTTTTTCCATTTGTTCATTAAACAAAGTCAAGTTATTTATGTAATTATAATAATTACTTTAATACTAAATGTGTTGCTTTAAAAACAAGCACTTGTTTCATCACTTTTGTATGTCTTCATTTGGCTCATTATTAGAAAACGAAACATTTAATTTATAATTAATACTAGGTTTTGTTTTTGATGCCTATGTTGATTTTACTAGCTTGATTTGACAAATAAATTAAGAACTGCAACAAACTTATAGTCTACTTGTTAAATAAAAAAGAAAATCTCAAACCATGCAACATCAAAGTTTTTTTTATGACATATTGTGAGGAAGTTTTGACACTTTTGCATAAAATAAGCATGATGGCCTTTATGTGACCTTCCAATAAAATGTACAGCAAAGTAACACAAATACATTTACTAAGTAAATATACAAGCTACCAGCTACCGAACTGCCTTATAGATGATACATGTACATACTGTATCTATTTCTGTTTGTCACAGCTATTTTTAAATAATTTGAATATTGTGAATCAATTAATTCAGTGCAGAACATTTTAGCTGTCACAATCTTGTTTTCATTTATAAAAACAAACATCTTGTTGCTAACAAACAAACAAGACATATATTGGTAACAACAGTGGAATTTGTGAACATCAGTTTTAATATGAATGCATAAAAACATAATTGAAGAAAAAGACAAAACAATAAAACGTGTTCTTAAATGAGAAAAATAAAATCAATGTGTGTTTTGAAGAGCACAATTATCTGGACTGATCAAAATCAGCCTTACGGCAGCACAGAGGTTCCCAAAACCATCCAGAAAACAGGAAAATGAAATACCACTGGGACCAAAATATATGGCATTATTAGGTTATATTTTGATTTTAACAGAGTAGATAAATAAATAGTAGCCTTCTTTCAGCTATTACACCATATTTGTCTAATTTCTATCTTAGTTTTTTTAATCAGGAAAAGAACATGTTTTGTATGCAACCTACAGCAGCTTGACTTAAAACAAAATAGTGGCAATGTACTTCCTTCCTCATCTGTCTGTCTGTCTCTCCACCTACCTACCTACCTACAGTATCCATATCTATTTACGGTATCTATCTATATCATCTAAGGTATCTATGATATCTGTAGTATCTGGGTATCTATGGTGTCTACAGTATTTATCTGTGGTATCTACCGTATCTTTTTACGGTATCTCTCCCTTCCTTGTGCACGCTCTCTCTCTCTCATATATATAGCTTTATAGTTCTTAAATATCCTTGAACTTATTTTTGTATTTAAATAGTAGTTGATATTATTCAACAGGTACCACAGCACACTATGCAGGGTTTGAGAATCACAAAGGACACTGTTTCGCTTTAAAAACAATCATCAGTGATATGCAATTTTTACAAAAATCATTGACAAACTAAATTCTGCAGCCTAATCAAGTGTTTGTATCACAATATCAAGCAGTTTTGGACAGGACTGGATAATTCTGCTATGCCATCTTTCTGTTTCACAGCTCAAGGTGTTCTTGTGATCTTTTGTGTAGAGACTTTTAATATCCAAGCCTGTTTGAATCCTGGAACACTGAACAGGAGCTGCATTTTAGGGCTGACATTGCAGTAAAATGCCACCACATTGCCCAAACGGCTAAACTTAAGTCAACTGTGAAATCTGCTTCTGAGAGAGTGGTAAACAGAGACAGACGAGGAGAAGAATGCTAGGGTTGCAGTGTAGACTAACGGGGAGGCAGATAAATAGATATTGGAGGTTTCTCATATGTGTAAATGATAATAAAAAAAAATGTCAAGATTTCTTTTATTATCATTCTTTTGTTTCCTTGAAAGAAATGAGTGTCCTGAAAAAGATGGATTCTAGAAAGAAGGCCCAAGAAAACATTTATAATTAATAAAGATTGCACCATATTTTGTTATTTAAATGTTCCATTTCATAATTTTCAAATCCAGGACTGCATGTAATACAGCTGTGACACATAGCACACAGCTGGTAGGCAGCTAGCCATCACTATGAAGGATACCCCACCAAAACTATCAAATTGTTTAAAACTACCTTTAAGAAGAGTATCCCATTTAAATTAATACAGAACAAAAGTGAAAATGGTTAAGAAGCAGGCATAAATGAAAAAAACATTTTGGAATAGTCCGACTCCAATCACAGCTGCAGTTTCACCCTTGACCTCTTGATTGCAATGCAGCTGCAGGTGCAGCTTGGACGCCTTGCTGACCTGTGTTCCAAGCCAAATTATAATCAACTACACAAAGACATCTGGTTCTGGACGAAAGGAGAAATCCAGTGAACAGTCCTGAATGTCCATTTCAAAAAAAGAGCTCTAAGCAATTCTCTCATCGTTGGATGTATTGATCAATTTTGGTAGGAATGAAAAAAACAAAAAATGTAATGCATTCTGATTTGACATCTTATTTGGTCCAATAAATCTAGCACACTGTATACTTCTGTGATCTTTAACAAACATCACAGAGCTTGATCATCAAATATTAGATATCTTTTTCACGCCGGCTGTGTTTGAACTCTAAATCTAGCATCGTTCAAAGCTTTATGATGCTACTCTCTTTGTAAGTGCATTGGGCACCTTGCAGCTTGGAGATCTAGCAGCTGTAGATTATAGACATGTGCATCTGTTGACCTGACATCAGGCATTTACTTGGTTTGAAAAGAAGTTGCATTGGACCTTGTTGAAAGTGACATTCCCAGTGAGTGGTGCTGCCAGTGATAACCCAAAGCTCATATCAGAGAGCAGAGGATCAAACTGCCACCAAGCCAGCTGAGGTAATCTTTCACAGCAAGGCGGCTCCTGGGACAGCTGGTGATCGGTCACTGTTGTACAAAACAACATACCTACATGCATGTCTTATCACATATACACTACCCCCAACCCCTACGCACATTTACACAGTTTTTGTTTTGTTTCTCACAGTCTGCCATATGCACACAACAGCTCATATGTTCTAATATCTGATTTATATCAGAGAAGCAGCAGCTAGGAATAATGACGGCAAAGCAGAAGTGATAAGGGCAGGTAGGCACAAAGAGGGAGATGTGGGGGGAACTTAAAGATGAAATTGGAAAAAATAAAGTGTATTTCTGTGTATCTTTAGAGTTTGAGCTCATATGAATTATAGTGAGTGGCTACAAGGTATCTCTAGAAACTAGAGTACTCTGTGGCAACTATCACAACCGTCTTTATAATGACCTGTAGTGATGATATATCTCCAAAAATATTATTGTGTCAGCCTCCTTCACTATTCATGTAACTCATCTATTTAATTGAAATGGTAAATGGACTGCACTTATATAGCACTTTTCTATCTTATCAATATATTCAAAGCACTTTACACTACAATCTGTGCCCTCATTTACCCGTTCATACAGCACTCTACTATTTCTGTACAAAGACTAATCAGTGCTTTATCACATTCATACACCAATGGGACACACATCGGAGGCAATGAAGGGTTCGGTGTTTTGCCCAGGGACATTTCGGGATGTGACTGCTGGTGGAATCGAATCCCTAACTCTTGCATTGGAGGACGACTGCTCTAACCACTCAGCCACAACCGCCCCAAAGTAATAATAATAAAAAAAAATTAAATGCATTAACAAAATAAAAAAATAAAAAATAGGGAGCATTTCTCAGCTCTATAATATAACCCAACAAATGCAACAGGTGTTTTGTTAAAATTTACTATGAAATAAATATTTTTTTTTCGATAAGTTGCTAACTTTAGCCATGTTGATAGCTATCAACAGGGCATTGTCAAAAGTTTATACATCCAGCAGATAAAATGTAAGTCAACAACACAAAGGACAAGGTCCAGAGACAAAGCGAGTATGTTCTCGCTGAACAGGATAATACACTTGCCAATGATTTGAGGAAAAAAAACAACACAATGTTACCCTAAGGTTCAGGTTGTAAATTTTTAAGGGGACCCTTACTGGGTTCTCATTTTAAAAAGAAAACACCACTCAGCAATGGTTTAAGGTTATGGTTGCTCAGGGTTAGGCATAAAGCAAAACATTTACACATTCAATAGAACTTTATATATTTTTTAAAAATATCAATAGGATTTTGTTGTAAAATGTAAAAAAAGCAGATCAGAAACAATCAGAATTGGCCTATTATGTTTAAAACAGGAAAAAAAAATGTAACTAAAAGATATACAATTTGAATCCATAGGGTTAATAAACGGTTCAGTAAAGGGGACTTTGAAAAGCACAATATCACATACAAAAGAAAAACTCACCAATACATGAGCCGTCCGTCTCCTCATAACCAATGCTGCAGACACATCTTCCCAATGGAACTAACCAGTCTCCATCTGCTCCACAGAACAGTTTAGGTGTGTCTCTTTCTTCAGCGTGGTCAATACATGCCCCTCTCACCTCCACCAATGACGAAGAGTCCACACGAGGAACTGTATCTGGAAAAGAGGCCAGGTTCCTCAGCGTGAATGGACATTTCTTATAGTAAACCCTGACCGAGACCAATGCAATGCAGGCTCCAATGTCCTGGAATGCCAAATAAAAGCCTTTCCTGGTCATGGGTCCCACCTCACGCACTTCTGTGTTGAGCTTGAGAATGCGATCTCCAAGATCCATCTGAGTGAAGCTTTCATCAGCAGCAATGGTGTCAATCTTGGTATACTGTGAGGGTTTGAATTTGACACCATGAGCCTCATCTGTCTCATGGTAGAAAAGATTGAAGGTCTCCTTGCAAGTCCCTGAAACCCATGGAATGGAGTTGCAGTCACGCAAGGTGAAGCGGAGCTCTACATAGATCTTCTGGGCTGCCTGTCGAGGAATCCAGTTCGAACGAAGCCAGTTGTTCTGATTGGGTTCCATTACGTTGCAAACCTGGAATGTATGGATGGGTCGATTGAGCTCGTCCATCTCTGTGATGGCGTCCCACTATAGAAAAAACATAAGAAAGTGGAGAAGTTGGAATATGAGTTCAAAGAGAGAGGCAGAAATAAAATGACATTTTCATATATATATATATATATATATATATATATATATATAGACAGACAGACAGACAGACAGTCTCAGCTAAATTTGTTTTTCTTTTACTTTATGTTACTTCCTAACGTCTTGGTTGAGTAGTTTCTCTCATTGAAAGATGTCTCCCTTCAGGTGCCAAGTCATCAGCTCTGCAACTCCTGGGTCAGATGTTCAAGGACCATGGCAGCTTTGCAGGGTCATTAGGTTACCAGCCCCCGTGTTGATGGGAAATAAGTTAATGGGGGTTTTTAGCCTCTTGGTCCTGCATTGCTTTTAAGTTTTATTAGAGTGGGGACTGGCTTTAGGGGTGACCCCAAAACCACCAAGAATCCACCTCCAAGTATTAAATTACCTACCTGGGAATAGGGAATCTCAAATCACCTTGCTTACAATGCAGCATTTGGCCCTCCACAAGCTGCAGTTTGAATTGTGTGCGCACATTTTGTGTTTAAACTGATCATTTAGTTCACTCATAATAGTTGGATTCTGATTTTAAGAGTTAAAATTGATGCAATTACCTTTTAGTGAACCAAATTGGCCACTACTAAAAAGAAAATAAAATCACTTTAGGACTGCTTGTAAGCATGCCTGACATCTGCTGTGAGCCAGCGATTATCACGGTTTTCACAAAGATATGCGAGACATGCAAATAAAAGTTTTGACCAGAGAACCAAATACTGAGATATTTGTTATTAACCAACACATTTGTGCAACTATGATTCTGCAATTAAAAATGAAACGACTGCATCAAGTGCACACTGAGATTTTTGACTTTGAGATCCAAACTGAAATCACCATCCTAATTAATGGCTGGAAAAGATCTTTGTTATTGGATAACACAATCTTGAAAGTTATGGCAATGCTTGCTGGTTAATTTACTATTTGCCTGATAAGTTTGCACATTTAATAAGCTGTTTTTCACTTTGCTAAGTATTACTTCTTAATGAGAGCAGTAATCAAAGCCTAATGTTTGCTTTCACATACTCATTATCCTTTTTAATAACATCTTCTAATTCAATCACCCAAAGACTACAGGCTGTAATCTGCTCTTCCCTCAAGGTGTAATTGTGGCATTACAGTCAAATTGATTTTGATTGGATGTGATGCTGTCTATCATAGACACACAGAGAATTATGTTTAAAATATGTTCTGTATTTCTAATCTCAAACTTGTTACTATAAAAATACAAGATGTGTTAATTAAAGTTTTATACAAGCTAACAAAACCTGTTCTCACACTGTGGTTCTGTGACATGTTTGTAAAGACAAGCCCACCTTTAAGGCCCCTTTGGTTGTTCACAAATGAACCAAACAAGCTAACTAGTTTCCCCATGCAATGAGCTTAACACCCATGAAGCATAGCATAGCAAAACCAGCAAGGTGACAGCTGTAGAGTGCTGGGAAAGCTGCTTTTCACTTCACACCTGCTTTCAGAATCAGCTCTGTGACAATTGTACTTGCTGGCTCAGAGGTGTAATAGTAATGAATCCTTTTTACCATTCTATTGAGACTTGATCATTCCACATAACACAAAAGACAGCCAAGGTATCTACGAATATATTGGTGCATCTACTCATCTTCATACCTACCTACCTACCTACCTGCCTACCTACCTACCTACCTACCTACCTACCTACCTACCTACCTACCTACCCACCCACCCACCCTCCCATCTATCCATCTACCTATACCTGACCTACTTATGTATCTACCTATTTACTTATCCACCATATCTGCTTACCTGCCTACATACTTATCTACCTATGCACATACCTACCTATACCCATCTATCTGAACACGCATGCAGATCCCCCCTACCTCACACATACACACTCACACACACGCACCACACATCCATACAGCAAGGTCAGATATAGCCCTTAGTCTCATATTTTTTTATGGTGCACAAGGCTGCCATTGAGGATTATAGCTAATATATTAGTGGAAAATTTAATACTTTTACCCTGTCAAACTACATTTTATAACAGTAAAATATGTGAAAGATGAGAAAAGAAGTAAAATGTAAAACAGCAGGGAAAAGAGAAAAAGAGGAAGACAGTGTTAAGATTGTGTGAAGGTTTGTGTTTCAAAAACAATTGTCTTCAGACGGTTCATGGGAATAACTAGATTTAATTCTAAACAAATGAAACGTAAAAAGCCAGTGTTGATAGAAATGAAGAAACTGAGATGGCACTATCAGAATGAATTCTCTCAAAGGAGTAAAACAACCCTCTGCGGTAGAAAACACTGATACTAGAAACCTCGACTAGACACCATTACCACTAAAAGGCATCCAGGATTCTTTTTTTTTTTGGTCTTTTTACAATTTATGTAGTTGCAGATGTGTGATGACTCGAGCTTTGCTTCTATAAAACTATAAATTCAGTAGTTTAATTTGCATACAATCAACAGAATGTAAGATTTAGCATTACTTTTTTATTTTTATAAAAGTTACATTAATTTTAGTTCCATTACGTTTTGAACAAATTTTGCAGCTGTTCCATCATTTTAAACCATCTAATTAATTTGGCTGTGCATTTCCTTCTGTTTTTTAGTTTTGAAATGAGATCTAACTTATTTTTCAAAGTGAAAAACTTCAGGTGAAGCCTTGCTTAGACACTCCACTATTTTGCCATTGAACCTTAGCATGCATAATTGAAAGACCTACTGAAAACTTGGTTGATTGATCATAGCCTGAGACCAAGGCATTTATAGTCTATCTCTCACCACATGAAACTGAGCCAGTCATTTTACTGGACCCTTGCCCAGGGCTGAGCTCATTTTTATTAACGCTATGACTCCCAGAACCCTCTTTAAACCTGGACTTTGAACTTTAGTGTCATAACTTGCTCGGCTCCTCTTAATCAAAATTAAGTGATCTTAAACATTCCCATTTGGTGTGGAGTGAGGATGTGAAGAAACTGTAGTGAACACAATTTAAGGCTAAACATTTGGGAATCCATCTGAAAGTTTTTAACTTTTGTATATTTCAATAACATGCATTAGCAGTACATTATTAGAAACAAAACCAGTGGTAAAGGTGAAAATAATTTTTTCTTTAATTGACACAATAGTAATATCAATAATAGTAATACTTGATTAATTCACAAGCATCTTTGTACCTGTTGTAAATGAATATGCACATATCCAAAAGTCAGAGACTCTGGGTTCATTTACTAGATAGATCATAAGTTTTGGAATACCCCTTGGCTCTATTTTTAGAAAATATGGGATATCCTTTCATTGTTACATAGATAATACACAGATATATGTCCCGCTAAAGAAAAAGGACTGTAACTCTCTTGTCACTCTGTTTTCTTGTCTGGAGGGCATAAAAGACTGGATGGCTGTGAACTTCTTGGGAAAGACTGAGGTGATGGTCTTTGGAAGCTCCACTGAGACTCCCAATGTAAATGTTGGTTCCTTGGCCTAGTACAGCAGGGACAAAGTCGATGCTGGACTAAAATTAGAAAATCACATCAGAGCAGTTATTAAAACAATTATTTTTCATTTTTTACGTCTGAGGCAGCTGGCTAAAGTGAAGCGGATTCTTTCTCAGCAGCATTTTGAAACAGTAGTTCACACCTTTGTGACCACTCAGCTGGACTACTGTAACACACACTACACAGGAATCAGGGATTCATGTATCTCTCAGCTTCAGAGGGTACAGATTGCTGCTGCGCGGCTTTTAACTGGCACACGAGAGTTTGAACACATTTCTCCTGTTTTAGCCTCCCTGCACTGGCTGCCTGTACATTCTAGGGTTCATTTTAAAATTATTTTTATTTGATTTTCAAGCTCTAAATAGACTTGCTCAGCCCTATCTGTCAAAGTTTCTACATGCATACCCACCCTCTCGATCCCTCAGGTCATGTGATCAGCTGCTCCTGAGTGTGCCGAAGACAAAGCGTAAACTCAGAGGAGACCGTGCTTTTACTGTGGCAGCTCCTAAAATGTGGAACGGCCTTCAATGAACATCAGACAGGCCTCATCCCTGTCCGTTTTTAAATCCCTTCTTTAAACACATCTCTTCTCCCTGGCCTCTGACACCATATGAGATGTTGACTTTTAATCATTTTAATCGCTTTTTAGTAACCAATTGTACGATTGTTTTATTATGTGTACAGCACTTTGGTCCTGTGGGTGTTTAAAGCACTATATAAATAAAGCTGATATGGCACCACTAGATGCAATTATTGTCATTAGGATTAGTTAATCCAGATTTGTTAATCTGGTTCTTACAACAGGCCTTTTCTCAATTTCAATATTCTATATTCAAATGTGCATTTAAATATATTTGTTAAATGTCAATCATATGATATAGAGTTCAAAAATAGCAAAATGTGAGAATACTTATGTGTCTTGGAATATGGGAATGACTGTTTTTATTATTTTTTTTAGCAAAAAAAAAAAAAAAAAAGATGAATAAATCTTGTGCACCTTATCTGAAAAAGTTGCCTGGAGGTCTCAAAACAATTTCAGCGACATTGTACAATTGTCCAGCGGGACCCAAACAGGACACTGACTCTGCATAGAATAAGTCGCAGGTGTTTATTTAGACTCACACATCAGGCTGCAGAAGACTCAATCTGAATAAACGTTTAAAATTCTAAATGAAATGTATTGTTGCCTTCCCAGTTTTACATAAAGCAAGATTTGATTTGACTGCTATACACACTGCGCCCGCGGAGTTGGAAGCAGGTGTGTTCTCTTCAGGTCTTTCGAGACCTCTGAATTTAAGCAAAGAGCATTTTCACCCACAGTCAACTATGATTATTTGAACCAGTTCTTCCATTTCCTATTAGTCATTTTGTGATTTCTTGGACATCTCCTGGTAAACATTTCTGTGAAAGTACCTGCAAGCATGAAATATTATTTGTAAAGGAGTAATATCTGTCTATTTTTCAC